CGGTGGGGGAGGTGCTGATGGTGAAGGCGGAGGTGACGACGGGGAGTTTGGGGTGTTCCCGGATGATGAGGGACGTGACCACGCCGAAGGTGCTGCCGCCGCCGCCGCGGAGCGCCCAGTACAGGTCGGTGTTTTCTTCGGGCGAGGCCGTGATGAAGTGGCCGTCGGCTGTGACGACTTCGAGCGCCATGACGTGGTCGGCCGCCATGCCGTAGAGCCCGGAAAGAGGGGTGTGTCCGCCACCGGCAATGTACCCGCCGGCATACCCAACGCTCTGTTCCGGTCAGGTTAGCATGTATGTCTTAACTCGACGGGTTATCGACCCACTCACCTCACAGATACCCCCCAGAGCGCTCACGTCGTTCTTATCAGCCTCTGCATACACCTCCCGCACAGTCACGCCAGCGCCAACTTTCATTGCCGGCCCGGAGTATCCGGGGATCTTGAGATCAGAATGGTACTCGAGGTTCTTTAGGTTGTGCGTCCAGATGCTGAGTGCTCCAGCCCCGCTGCTCTTGCCGAGGTAGCAATGTCCCGTGTTCTTAATGACTAGCCGCAGGTTGGAGTTGCGGGCAAAGTTGATGGCCAGCTGGATTTGGCTCACGCTGCTAACATTCACAGCGTAGACGGGGAATCCTCCATGGGTGCAGTTCCCGCTGTTTGAGTCGTCCGTCACCATACATGTCCTTCCTTGAAATAGCGGCCAAAAGGTGGAAGTCGGATCGCTTTCACTGGGGGGTATGAGTTTATGCTATGAACGGCGAGGTCTTTGGCCTTGGCGGAGACTTACTGGAAGTAGGGGTTCGTGAAGGAATCGCGCACCGCAGCACATCTCTCGGCGTCGTAAACACCCAGGTTTTGGTAGCACGGGGCAGCGACCGGTACCGTCTCGATGAGAGCGCCGCCGAGGAGCTTGTCGAACGTGTGCCAAATACTCTGTGATGGCCATTCTGAATCCCCTGGAAACACCTTGCAGGCCGGCCTGCCTACGCCCGGGCTTGCTTCAACTCCATCGTCAAACGAAAAGAGAGACGCATTGTCTACAACTCCGGCCTCGGCAAGTAAATCCTCGAGCCCCTCTTTAGTCAGGGATCTGGTCTCGTACTCGAACAAGGGGTAGGCATGGCCACTCGTGCCTTGCGCCGCGCCGAGGGGCAGAATGCAGGGGATGAACAACCCAAACAGATGGATGGCGGGGGCCATTGGTGCGCAGCGTAGAATTGATGAGGGGAACGCCTTGTTGAGGGGATCAATACAACGAGCTCTACTTATGGTTTGATGGTTCGGCGACCTCCCGGTCACTATTTCAGATGCCGTCGCCCATATCCCGGGTTCCCCTCACAAGCGGGACAGCAAGGGGCTGATGGACCTATCAACAACCCGATCTGCATGGTTCTGCATGCTAATTAACAAGTGAATGTGACGCGTCAAAGCAAAACCCCCTCTGCCAACCTTGTCCCCGTACATGCCAGTGGTGCGGCTGGGCGGAAGGCGTAATGATCAACCCGACGACACTGCTTATGTGCTTGGGGTTGTGTGGGCTGCTTACCACGTCGAACACGTCCTTGTTCATCATGGAAATTCCTCCCTTGCTATAAAATACTAGAGAAAACCAGAAACGTACCTAGGTAGCTACCGAGGTAAGGTAATTACCCAGTTACTGATACTGGGTGCCATCGACATGCTCGACGGCGAGTAGAAGACACGCCGGGTCCAAACAGCAGGATACTTGTGTTGCCTAGGTGTGGAACGGAAACGGTCCGGGTACTGAGTAAGAAAGGGCCCAGGATTATTCAAGAGCTTAACCCGGCACATATCTGGTAGCTGAGAGTCAAAGAAGGGGCAAGGCGCGGATGCTCCGGGGTGATATTTAGAGGAGATGTTAATGATGGACCCTACCTTAGGTGCCTAGTCATTCTACATATAATATCTGACACTTTGCACCATATGTGCAACATTCCTGGTGCTAAAACGGCCGACGAAGGAAAGGCAATCAAGCAAACGAAACGGATACCTGAGAAAACTCGGAGACCACACCATCCATCTTAAACCATCCTGCGGAGACCGACATGAAACGAAGACGAGGGTTTTGATCATCGAAACCAGCGAGGTTTTATCGAGCAAAACAAAATACGCGCGCACGTGCAAGCAATGAAACAAACAGGGGTTGGCGATGGCTTAAACTGAGTACCCAGGTACAGAGGTCTGCCTGATGATGATGTCGGTATGTTTTCAGGGGGGGTTGAAGTTACAACATCTCCCCGCCGACTGCGACCAAGGCTAAGCCAGCTACTGGAGAGCAGCCAACACATGGGAAGCTCCACATGTTTTCACTAGCTATACCTATCTCGTCATTTGCCAGCCCACCTGTGTGAGGCAAACGCCAGGACCGTCTTGGTGAAATTTCTTGGCAAAAATATCGATCCAACATCATTTCTGACACTTAAGTATCTATCAATATCTCCACGCACATTATCCGCATCATCGATCGCGTAGTAGAATTAGATACTAGAGAGTTAGATCTACTAGACTACATAAACAGGAATCCCGCGCATGTGTTCGGGCGACTGGTATAACCATTCCAGTTTTCCAGTTCGTTCTCTCCTTTCCATCCCGCGCACACGCCAAAACGGCCCTGGTGTTTGCCACACACAGACACAGCCCAGATCTGCGCTAGGCTGGCCGGCCCACCAGCTGATATCCCGACACAAAACAATAACTATACCTTACTTACCCAACACCCCTTCGGATCATGGCGTATGTCCCCGACGCCACCCACACGTCGCCAACGCCGTCGCCCTCCCAGCTCTTACGGCTCACGCCAGAAATCCGGCTGCGCCTTTACCGTTACTTGGGGTTGGCGACGTGGAATGGCCAACCGTATCAGTTCGACTTTAGAGGCGGATCAGCCGACTGCAAAACGTACGCGGGCTGCCCGCCCGACCCGATCGAATTCCATGGCCTTTTGATCTCCTGTCGCACCATCTACGCCGAGGCGGCTGCCTTGCTTTACTCGACGAACAGCTTCGTTGTCCAGCACCACGCCCCTGCCCAGCTACATGGGCTCCACTCTCTTGGTGCTCTCACCGAGGCGTCGCTCCGGTCACTCTCTCAGCTCAAGATCGTCATCAACGAAGCCGCCTGCCACAATAGAGTGACAGAAAACGACTATAGCGAGGACAGGTGTTGCTGGCACAGCCGCGAGAAGTATGACTGGTCAGACGTGCTGTGGTGCCGGAACAAGCATTCCGATATCCATCAAGCCCCGTTCCTAAGCGATGGTGAAGGTGTGGCCTCGGCGGACGACGCGCAGCGCGCCTGGCACTCCGCCGCCGCCCGCCTCTTCTCTCACATTACCCCCGGCCGTCTCGCCCTCTCTCTCGTGTGCGACATCGACCCGCAGCACCCACGGGCGCTCAATCTTGCCGAGTCTATTCTCGCGCCCTTATACCTCCTTCCTCGCTCCTATCTCTCGAAATGTCAGATCCGGCTAGCCAAGGTGCCTTACTGGCCACTCGAAAAGCTTGCTCGGGATGCCGCTGTACACGCCTGCGGACTGCCCACACCTGTCCCGCACACCTCGGAGCCGCTCAACACCACAGCTACCGCCACTCTGGCCAGCCTCCCGCGCGAGCTCCGCATACGCATCCTGGAATACACCGACCTGGTTGCGCCACGGCGGCAGGTGATCTGGAGCCGACAGGACCGTGCGTACGTGGTGCTCCGCTTCCGGCGCGTCGCGGAGCCGCCGCTAAACCCGGACGAGGCGCACGCCGAGCAGTTCTTCGAATGCTACCGCGGCAGGCCCGAGGGCTGCTTCTGCCGCCGCCGTCATGCTACCTTTTCGCTACACTGTAGGTGCTGGGCGCCGCCGGGACCCGCGCTCTTCCTCGTGTGCCGCACCCTGTCCCAGGAGGCCCAGCACGTCTTCTTTTCCCGCAACCGGTTTATCGTTCACGACTACAAGGTGTTCCCGACCTGGTGGCTGCCGTCGCTGCAACCGAGTCCCTCCTCAGACCCGCACTCGCCACAACATGGCGCCTACCCGTTCAAGAGATTCGTCGCTTCCGAATTCCTCCGTGACGTGGTGCCCGCGCCCGCCCTCTCCCACCTTCGCTTCCTCGAGCTCGTCTTCCCGCCTTACCCCCCCACGACCTGGCCCGGGCCGGACCACCCTGCCGTGCGGGACTGGGCAGCCGTGGTAGGTTGGCTGCGGGACAGGCTCAACCTGCCGGTGCTTACGCTGCGAGTGGTAGTTACAGACGAGAGCAATGGGACGCCGGATCGCGCCAGAGGGGCCACGCCTGAGGAGGCAGCGACGCAACTGGGGGCGTACACGGCTCTCCTGCGGCCGCTGCAGAGGCTGGCGGAGCCGCCCGGCCTCGCGCGGTTCTACGCGCATTTCCAGTACCCGTGGGAGACGGCGCCCTGGGACCTCGCGCTCTATCAGCCGCCGGGCCCGTGGTATGACCCGTGTTTCCACAAAAGAGACCTCAAGGAACGCCTCGAGCGTTACGTCATGGGCGCGCGGTACGAGAGCTTGTACGCGGATGGCAGGAAGGAGCCGGGGCCCAGCGATTGGGATTATATGTACTTTGCTGACCGGCCGTGGTGAGTGTTGGCCCGCCGGGCGAGTCGGGACCGCGCAGCGACAGGGCGGAGACATTGGGGAGGCGGACGTATGCGAAGGGAAGGTAACCCCTTAACGACTGGGTCGAGATCTCTGCTTTTCTTTGGATCTAAGTCAGTTGAATGTTGCGTTAACACATCCGCCTTCTGGGAATAAGAACACTCGACAGTGAGGAGTGGAATGTAACGCATGCCGTCAAGCTAATGCCGGTCCGTTTCCCCGGGATCCGGGTGTTCGCAGAAAAAAAAAAAAAAAAAAGGAGACTGGAATTATATAACAACATTGTAACGACAACAAAATGACTTTCCTGCTCATCATTTCCTCATAGTTGGTTGATACAACCCGTCAACCCAGGCTGTTGGCACTGAGTTGATCACAGATTGGTTCAACCAGTGACGGGCCGCTAATCGAACAGGAGGTAAAAAACTACAGAGGTATCGTTCAATCAAGCATTCTCGAACGCTAAGTAGGTGTTTTCCTTGCGATGTGTTACCTGTAAATATCAACGCCTTTGCCGAGAAGGACCCAAATCGTTTCTGTTTTCCAAACAGGCAGCCTTCGTACCTGGCGTTTGCACGTCAGTTCCATCACCCCCCGCCGTCATCGAACCCATCTCGTCCCGCCGCCTTTTCGGTACACAGCCGAAGCGTGCGCACATGACGGGTCCGTAAGCCCCACGCCGTCCCTCAGGCCTACTTCTGGCTACGGATCGTCCATCACGAGCGATAACCAATGTACCCACAGTTGGCCCAGATTCCGTGGGCCAACCATGCAGCAGGAGGCCGTCGCCGTGATGGTCATGCTGCTGTTGGGCAGCGGGGCGTCTGAGCAGCACACGGCGGGAGGCAGCCCATGCGAGAGGCATCTTCCCCGTCCCAGCCTCTGATAAGAGGGGAGGGCGATTGAATTCAAGGTTGCCGGGGAGGGCGGCACGGGACCGCGCGTCCGGGCTGCAGGGATACGCCAATGGGCTCGCTCGCCGAGAAAAGGACCATCTCTGCCTCCCGACCGTGTTCAACTGCGCCATAGGGTTGCGGAGTGTCCCCGCTTACCACTCGCAATGATTTGGAAGACGCCGTGACACCGTCACAAACGACATGGCTCCCTGTCAGATTGGGGTTGTCTCGTAGCTGTTGTTGTTCTTTTCGGATTTGACCCCAAACGGCATCCATTCATTCCAACGTATTCGCATCTGGAACTGGAGTTGCAGCCAATATTGTCACCCGTCGTGCAAATGACCGTCCCTTCTCGGAGTAGCCCCTGAAGATCGAAGAGTTTGCGGCCTCAATATTCTGAGGGCGGCCTGGGATCATGGAATCTGATACGCGCCAGAGCGGAACGGTTGAAGTCAAATTTACCTCTGTGGGGTGTGAGACTGTCTTGGCGCCAATGGACACGCCGAGGCATTCTGGTGAGGCATTCTGCAGTTCCCGGTGTCGTGAGTTCCCACCTTTTTCAGTTCCGCCTTTTGAATTCCACCTTTAAGTTCCACCTCCAAGCTCAGTTCCCTCAAAAACGCCCAAAGGCACCAGGCATGGTGGATAAAGAGAAGAAATCAGCCATGGATGGGCATGACGAATTCCTTATTCCATTGCTGACACCTGGCAGTGCTTTCGGGGTGTGGCAGTCCCCAGGCGCAAACTGGGCGAGGTGGGCGAATTGGGCGAACTGGGGTTGACCGTCGTAAAAGCATCCATTTTGAGTTTACTGCGTTTCTGCTTGTGTCGTGTGCTGTCGATTCTGGCGTGTCTTGGTCGGTCGACCGCATGTGCGATCTGTCACCTGCCGCGTCACCGTCGTCGTCCAAGCCATGCACCTTTTTCCATTCCCAGAAACAAACCGGAAAGGGAATGCGTGCAGCTTTGGGGGCCGAAGGCGTGGACGTCTGCGCAGCTGTAATTGGTTGTGTTGATGACCCCACAATGACAACACCCTTGCCGCTCCCCTGCAGCTCAGACATCTGCCGTCGGTAGGCCTCCCGCCGTCAAGAAAAAGAAGACCCAATTTTGTTTCTAAAACATTTCTGCCTCCGATCCGTTTTGTTTCAACGCGCCTTGCGGCCGTCGGATCTGGCCATCTGGGTGTGTGGGTGCAACGGTTGGTTGGGGCAGTGCCTTTTTGAGAGGCTTTCAACAACCGTTGCGCCTCAGTTACCGCCGCTGTTGGTGACGGGCTCTTTGTTGCTGAGCCCTTCTCACCCGCGCGGCACGCGGGCCATGCCATTCCAGGGCATAAGTAACTCACGCGAGAAATATGCGGCCAGGGGCGGGCGGATCGGGGGAAGGGGGGCAAGGGTTCAACGCGCCCCGTCTGACGCTGCACTAGAAACCATGTTGGGCGCCAATCCTCGATGCGCTTCCGTTCGTAGGAAGGGCCGCTAATTATGTATTATTGCTGTTGTCAGATGACTTTACGGTGAAGCACGTTGCACAGCTTACCTTACCGCTTCTTGCTCTGTTGTTGGACCCAAGGACCCAACTGTTTGTCGCCGATCCCCCTCAGTGGACGAGGCAGCTGCATCGACAGCTCATGATCACGCCAAGCTTCGTCCGCGATGGGTCGAGACCTCGCTAAGAAAATGCTTAGGATGCTTGGTTCCGAGTGCCATGGGTAGCTGAGCTACTCCACACAGTGTTTCAAGCAAGCGGTGCATGATTAGGCTCGATCGGCGGATGATGTGTTCCGGTGGCTGAGACCGGCGGATGATGCATGATTTGGCAGCGTTTGGCACACCTTTGGAAGCTCACGCCACATTTAAGGAACCTGGAGGTGGCGCGCACACAGTGTTCATATACCTCAGATCAATACTGTGTATGTGTACCTGCCAAGACCATGGCCAATTGCCCTTTTGGCCACCACCCAATGCCATCGGATCGTCATTTCAATCTGAAGCGACTGGCAGTGCGGGAAACTAGCGTTTGCAGGTCTCTTTGTGCCCTGTTCCAAGTTTGTTGTGCTCCTTGCATCTCCGCTGGATGTCTGCCCAGCCCGAAGGCGCACATGTCATCAACGCACTGCCCTCACTGATCACCTTGCGAGCAAGTGGAGGCCTCTTTCCCTCTCTCTTTCTCCTCGCCACACTTTTTGGTGTTGGGCTTCTACGCTCCAGCAGTCCTGGAGTATATTGCATCATCGGTGATCGCTACTTCGTATACCCTCCACATTCCCCTTCCACAGAACATTGCTTCTTCTGCAGTGTAACCTTATTGCGAAGCAGTGGTCCAGACCCATTGATGGACTGATCAATTGGGTCACCATTCTTCTACCGTTTCCATGGCAGATACCGACCCCACCAAAAATGAGGTACGTTGTTGTTCGCAACTGTATTTGGGGTCGCTGAGGCTCGCCCATTTCTCTCCTCGACTTTGCTCGACTGCTCTCGACCGACTCCACATGCACGCCGCGTGCTAGAAACCATGTCTGACCTTCCCCAGCCCGAGAGCTCCATCACAACAACAAATTCCGAACCCGACGATGCGCCGACAACATCGCTGCCGGCTGCTCATGGCTCCGGCCAGAAGTCCAAGGGCGGTTTCCAGCTCAACGTGCACGACGCCCTGAGCCCCGACCCGACCAACGAGGATATGTACGATGTCCAAGATAACAAGTTCGCCTTTTCACCCGGTCAACTTTCCAAGCTCCTCAACCCGAAAAGCCTCGACGCGTTTTACGCCCTCGGGGGCTTGGCCGGCCTTGAGAAAGGCCTGCGCACCGATCGCAATGCGGGTCTCAGCACCGACGAGGGGACCCTTGACGGCGCCGTCAAGTTCGAAGACGTTGCGCCCAAGGGCACTCCCAAATACGGCTCAAACGGCGACACTCTGCCCGTCGCCAAGGGCGACAACGACAGCCCCGCGACCCCCGCGCACCCGCACCACACCACGGGTCAGTTCGCCGACCGCAAGCGCGTCTTTCGCGACAATAGGTTGCCCGAGAAGAAGAGCAAATCGCTGCTAGAGCTGGCCTGGATCACCTACAATGACAAGGTCCTGATCCTGTTGACCGTCGCCGCCGTCGTGTCCTTGGCCCTCGGCCTGTACCAGACGTTTGGTGTCGAGCATGAGGATGGTGAGGCCAAGGTGGAGTGGGTTGAGGGTGTCGCCATCATGGTGGCCATCATCATCGTCGTGGCTGTGGGTACGGTCAACGACTGGCAGATGCAGAGGCAGTTCAACACGCTCAACAAGAAGGCCGGCAACCGCACCGTGAAGGTCATCCGCTCCGGCAAGTCGGTTGAGGTTTCGGTTTTCGATATCATGGTCGGCGACGTCATGCACCTTTTCGCCGGTGACCTGGTTCCTGTCGATGGCATCTTCATTAACGGCCACGGCGTGAAATGCGACGAGTCCTCTGCCACTGGCGAGTCCGATCTGCTGAAGAAGGTTGGCGCCGACGAGGTCTTTGCCATCTTGGAGGATGTCGCCAAGGGAGGTAAACCCCCCGCCGACGTTGAGAAGCTCGACCCCTTCATCATCTCCGGCAGCAAGGTCAACGAGGGTACCGGCACCTTCCTGGTTACCGCCGTCGGCGTCAACTCGAGCTACGGCCGCATCATGATGTCGATGCACACCGACCAGGAGGACACGCCCCTGCAGAAGAAGCTCAACGTCCTGGCTGACTGGATTGCCAAGTTTGGTGGCGGCGCTGCCCTGCTCCTCTTCGTCGTTCTCTTCATCAAGTTCCTGGCTCAGCTCCCCAACAACACCGACACCCCCGACCAGAAGGGCCAAACCTTCCTACGGCTGTTCATCACCTCGGTTACTGTCGTCGTGGTTGCCGTTCCTGAGGGTCTCCCCCTGGCCGTTACCCTCGCCTTGGCGTTTGCAACCACCCGGATGTTGAAGGACAACAATCTTGTCAGGGTGCTCAAAGCTTGCGAGACCATGGGCAATGCCACCACCGTTTGTTCCGACAAGACTGGCACCCTGACGCAGAACAAGATGACTGTCGTGGCTACCACTCTTGGAAAGAGCATCAGCTTTGGCGGCACCGACGCGCCATTGGAGGAGGACAAGGACGAGACCAGCAAGGCTGTCGAAATTGATATCCCCAACCTGCCCGTTGCCGACTTTGTGAAGGGCCTCAGCGCCACTTCCAAGCAGCTCCTGGTGCAATCCAACGCCGTCAACTCGACCGCTTTCGAAGGTGACGTTGAAGGCGAGAAGACCTTCATCGGTTCCAAGACCGAGGTTGCCCTGCTTACTCTCTGCCGCGACCATCTCGGTGCCGGACCCATCCAGGAAGAACGCGCCAACGCCAACGTCGTCCAGGTGGTGCCCTTCGACTCGGCCGTCAAGTACATGGCCACCGTCGTCAAGCTACCCAACGGGAAGTTCCGTGCCTACGTGAAGGGTGCCTCTGAGATCCTTCTTGGCAAGTGCACTCAGGTTATGGCCGATCCCGCCAGTGAGGAGCTGACCACAACCCCCATCACCGAGGATGACCGCGCCGTCTTCTCGCAGACCATCACTTCTTATGCCGGCCAGACCCTTCGCACCATCGGTTCCTCGTACCGCGACTTTGAGTCGTGGCCGCCTCCGGAGCTCGCCGGCCAGCAGGAGCTGACAGCCGTCGAGTTTGACAAGGTGCACAAGGACATGACGCTCGTGGCTATCTTCGGTATCAAGGACCCGCTCCGCCCCACCGTCATCGACGCCATCAAGGACTGCCGCCGCGCTGGTGTCACTGTGCGCATGGTCACCGGCGACAACATCTTGACCGGCCGGGCCATCGCCAAGGAATGTGGCATCTACCACCCCGAGGAGGGCGGCCTCGCCCTGGAGGGTCCCGAATTCCGCCGCAAGTCCGAAGAGGAGCTGAAGAAGCTCGTACCTCGCTTACAGGTGCTCGCCCGGTCGAGTCCGGAGGACAAGCGCATTCTGGTCCGCACCCTGAAGGATATTGGCGAGACGGTTGCTGTGACTGGCGACGGAACCAACGATGCGCCGGCTTTGAAGATGGCCGATATCGGGTTTGCCATGGGCATTGCTGGTACCGAGGTGGCCAAGGAGGCTGCGTCCATCATCCTGATGGATGACAATTTCGCGTCCATCGTCAAGGGTATCAGCTGGGGTCGGGCGGTCAACGACGCCGTCAAGAAGTTCTTGCAGGTGAGTGATGTGGTTCGGAGCCGTTTTGGCTTGCGCGTTTGCTAACAGCCTCATAGTTCCAACTGACCGTCAACATTACCGCCGTGGTCCTGACCTTCGTGTCTGCTGTTGCCAGCAACGAGGAGGAGTCCGTGCTCAACGCGGTTCAGCTTCTCTGGGTCAACCTCATCATGGACACCTTCGCCGCCCTTGCCCTCGCCACAGATCCGCCTGCGCCGTCGGTTCTCGACCGGAAGCCTGATAAGAAGTCGGCCGGGCTCATCAACGGCCGCATGATGAAGATGATCATCGGCCAAGCCATCTGTCAGCTTGCCATCACTTTTGTTCTCCACTTCGCCGGCGCCACGCTCCTCGGTTACGACCTCGCCAACGCCAACAGGGAGATCGCCGAGCACGAGGAGAAGCGTCTGCGAACCCTCGTCTTCAACACGTTTGTCTGGCTGCAGATCTTCAACGAGCTCAAGTAAGTCCCCCACAGTCTCATACTCCCTGTTCGAACTGTGACTAACAATCACCCAGCAACCGCCGTCTCGACAACCGGTATAACATCTTCGAAAACATTTCCAAGAACTACTTCTTCATCATCATCAACTTGATCATGGTCGGCGGCCAAGTCCTCATCATCTTCGTTGGTGGCGAGGCCTTCAAGATCACGCCCCTTGACGGCAAGGAATGGGGCCTCTCCATCGGCCTCGGTGCCATCTCACTACCCTGGGGCGCCGTGATCCGAACCTTCCCCGACGCCTGGGCCGAGGCCATGGTCCCGCACTTCCAGATCCCGCTGCCCAACATCTGGCCCTTCAAGGGCATTGTCAAGAAGCGCCGCGCCGCCGCCGCGGGTGGCGACGCCGAGAAGGTGCCGCTGTCCGAGGAGGAGCGCCGCAAGCTCGCCGACGAGAGCAGCGACAGCGACGCCACCTTCGAGCCCCCGCTGCGCGCCCTCACCAGCATCCGTGGCCGTCGCGCCACGCACAACACCCGCCGCAGCCTGAGGGAGTACATGCACGATCAAAAGACCAAGGTCAAGGATAAGGCCAAGGTCATTAGTGGGAGCAAGACCGATGTGTCGTCGCAGACGCAGTCACACTCGCAGGCGCCGGGGCTGGGCGGGAAGTTGCCGACGGTTTGAGGATATCTAGGTAATGAGAGGGATGAGGGATGACTAATCTGCGCGGTGGCTTTTTCCTTTGAAGCTTACTTTGTTGTTGCTGGTTTTTTGCTTGAATTTTGGGGACTGGGTGCAAATACAATAGTTACATGAGTTGCGGATGTTTGGTTGGTTGGGGGTGGGTCTGAAGAGGCGCAAAAATACCCGGTAGACATTCTTCCCCCGAACGTGGGGCCACCTTTTGCTTGAGTTTGAGTAACAAATCAAGTTTAATTATGCATTGAGGAAAAAAGCACTGGATTTGGCACTTGAAGGCGTCAGTGGCCTGTGAGTGTGGTGTCATGCCCGGGACCTCGGGCCCCATAACCCCGTCGGATCGGCCGGGAAGACCCACATTTCCGGCCGGGCGAAAGACCTCTGCCGTTATCTCCATACCGGAGGCCGAGGCCGGTTTTCCTGAAAGGGCAAGTGGGCACTGTTGCTGACGAGGATCCAGGGATGGGTTCCCATGGTGTCTGGGGTGGTGCCGAGAGCCGTGTTGGTTGGGGACCAGCCGCGGTTGTGTCATCTCACCAAGAAAAAGTACCAGCTACGAAACATTGTTCACACCAGGACAAAGACTCGAACCAAATATTACGCTGATAATTATACAATTCTTGAAACTATAACAAAGAACACAGTTCTCTTCAAATCTTTCAAGTATACCCATCTACCTTCATGTTTCAACACCTTTCTAACCATTCCTCCCCGTTTCCCTCTCTTTTTTTTTTCTTTTTTCACCAACATTTAGGTACCAGACCTTGAATCTGTTCAACCCTTTCAAACCAGCACTCAACAACCACTCTCCCCATCAGCTAATTAGGTAGTTAGTACACCCCAATAAAACGCCCACCCACCTGCGGCACCTCCCGCACCACCCCCCGCACCATCGCCCCACCCCTCACCCTCTCCGCCGCCTCATCCACGTCCCTCCTCACCTTCTCAGCCGCATCATCCAACTCCCGCCTCACCAACGGCACCACGCACGGCTCCCCGCCCCTAAACCACGGCCCCTCCCGCGACGGCGACGCCAGAGAACCCGCCAAAGACGAAGCGTACGCCATGCGCGTGGCCCTCGCCCCCTTGGCCAGCTCGTCCGCCCACCGGTGCGCCTCCACCCGGTGGTTATGCCCCGGGATCCAGTGCAGTTCCAGCTCGACCCCGGGCCGCATGTTGACCAGCGCCCAGGACTGCATGGCGATGAGGTCGAGGACGGGCTTGGCGAGCGCGAGGAGCGGGGGCGGGAGGCGCCGGTGCGGCGAGGCGGCCAGGTATTGCAGGTTGAACATGTTGTCGTTGAAGATGCGGATGAGGAGCGGTTTGGGGGTGGGGGTGGTGAGGTGCAGGTGTTGGGCTGCGTCGAGGTCGGCGAGTTGGTGGAGCGCGATGACCAGCGCTTCGGAGAGGGCGAGCAGCTCGCCTAGCGCGGAATCGTAGATGGGGTTGACGGGCCAGGCGGCGCCGATGAGATCGCGGCGGGAGCCGGTGCCGGGGATGAAGTGGCTGGTAGACGACCGAGATGCCGCCGTGGGTGGGGGTTCTGCGTCTTCATGGAGCCCGTCGCAGATGAGGTTGACGACGATGTGCGTGACGTTCGAATCTTGCGTGGAGCCGATATGAGCGACGGTGGCTGCCGCGCTCGGATCTGGACTGTACGACGATCCCGGCCGGTGAA